AATAGACTTGACACGTTGGGTACCAAGCTGGATCGCCATCACACCAGCAGTGAAAATTTGCATGAAGGAGATGCTACACTCTAGGAATGATCGGATGTTCCCCAGCTGAAGCATCTTGTGCCCACACTGGGACTGACTCTTTTGTGCCAGTGCTTGTCACATTGCTTGCAGTGCACAGAGCTACAGCAATAAGCACCATGCCTGGAACGCCTCCTGTTCATTGGCACTTTAATTAAGGGAATTCTTGTTGATGGACAGTGTCACATGATAGCCTTCAAAATGAAGGGTGTCCTATAAAAACCACATTTAAGTACACTCTCCTTAGAAATTTAAAGTTTGTTTTGGAAGATGATTTCTTAAAGCTTTTGGATAGTTGAAGCAATGTTTTACCAACAGACACTTGCATAACATTTTACTGCCAAGTAAGAATAATGAACGTGCTTTGAGGAGTCCTTGGGTGGTGCTCACTGAACGTTTAGAAGTCAAGTCCAACCAGAGCTGCCTTGGAAGAAAGGCCTGGTGATCTACTTCTGAAAAATCAGCCACTGAAAACCCTATGGAGCATAGTTCTACTCTGACACACATGGGGTCGCCGTGAGTTGGAATTGACCAGCAACTGGTTTTTTAACATTCATCGATGTGTCTATATGCTGGGTCTGTAGCATGTGCTTTACCTGAAGTTTCTCATTTATTCTTTACAACAACCCTGTGAGGTACATGATATTATTATGCATGTTTTACAGATGAGACAAGAAAACTTAGGCTAAGAAAGGCTAACATTCCCAAGGTCACACAACATAGAAGCAGTGGAGCCGTGATTCAAACTCCAGCCATCTAACCCTGTGTTCTTATCTACTGTGCTAAAATGGCCATTTGCTAGCACATACCAACACTAACCAAAAACATAATAATAATAAAAAACAAACCCATTACTGTCTGTTCTGATTCATGATGACCCTGTGTGTTACAGAGTAGAACTGCTTCATACAGTTTTCTTGGCCATAATCTTTATGAAGGCAAATCACCAGGCCTTTCTTCCATGGAGCTGCTGGGTGGGTTAGAACCGCCAACCTTTAGGATAGTGCAAGCTCTTTATGCCACCTGGGACCTATACCAACATTGTCATTGTTAGCTGCGGTGGAATCGGCCCTCCGACTCATGGCGACCCGTGTGTTACAGAGTAGAACTGCTCTATAACGTTTTCTTGGCTATAATCTTTACAGAAGCATTAGCCAGGCCTTTCTTTGTGGAGCTGCTGGGTGGGTACAAACCACCAACCGTTGGCTTAGCAGCCAAATGCAAACTGCTTTCTCCACCCAGGCTCCTATACCAACACTCAAACCAAACCAAACCAAACCTGTTGCCATTGAGTCGATTCCGACTCATAGTGACCTTGTAGGGCAGAGTAGAACTGCCCCATAGGGTTTCTAAGGAGTGGCTGGTGGATTCAAACTCCTGACCTTCTGGTTACCAACAGAGCTCTTAACCACTTTGCCACCAGGGCCCCATACCAACACTAGTACTGTCATAAAAGCAATGCAAACTATGAGACACCCAGGGAAAAACTTAACAGCAGCAACAACATCAAAGGCAGGGGGAAATAGAAAAAGAAAATACTCAAATTTTTATTGAGGTACATAAAAGATTTGAACAAATGGAGAGACATACTCTGTTCCTTTATGACAGATTCAAGACTATAAACATTCTGATTTTAATTCAAACCAGTATCTCAAAAACCCAATGCACAGTTCATCTGGAAGAATAACTACACAAATAGTCAGAACAATTCTAAAAGGAGGAATAAGGGCAACCATGAGATGAGGAGAAGGAGGTTGGCAGGAAACGTGCCCAGTCAATAATAAAACAATATATGCCTGGAACCAAATATGAATTATTAATGAAATAGAAAATCCAGAAACAGCCCCAAGTATACATAAACATTTAATATAAACGTAGCATTTCATAGTAAATGGATTATTCAGTAAGTAGTTTTAGAACAACCGGCTAACATTTGTGGGAAAAGTTTAGGTCTCTACACTTTATACTAAAACAGACTCCAGAAAAGTTTAAATGTTAAAAAAAAAAAGAGAAAGAAATCATGAAAAAGTTAAAAGACATAATGGTAAATATTATGTAACTTTAAGGTGGGAAAGAGTTTGAAAACATGACACCCAAGTTAGAAACCATACCAGAAAAGGATAGTATAACCACATTAAAAACTCAAAATTTCTGTAGTTCAAAAAACGCAAGAAATGAAATTAGAAAGAAAACTAGGGGGAAATATTTTCAGTGTATAAGATGAACAAAAAGTTATTATTCTTAATATTCAAACCAATAAAAAGATAATTTCTCTATTTTAAATATGAGCAAAGAATATCAATAAGCAGCTCAGCAAAAGAAGAAATTAAAATGACCAATAAAGTTTTGGAAAAAAATGTTCATTCTTCTTAGTAATCAAAGAGTAAAGGTAAATGTGATGCTATTTTCACCACTGGATTTGCAAAAAAATTAAAATAATAATACCTGGTGTGGGAGAGGGTGGGTAAAAGGATATTTCTCTAAGAGGAAAGATTTGGGAGACAATTAATTGTACAAAATTTCTGGGAAGGGAGGAAATTTAGCAATGGGCTGTTAAAAGCTTTAAAATTGCATACACTTGGACCTAACAATTTGTCTTCTAGAGATGTATGCAAAGGTAACAAGTGGAAGTGTGCAAATGTCCAGCAATGTTTATAATAAAGAAAAGTTAAAAATTGGAAATAGCCTCTATGTATAATGATAAAGGATTGGCTAAAAAAATTTTTTTTTGATATGGTGAGACAATGAAATGCTATGTAGCCATTAAAATTATATTATGTATCTATGAGCAAGGAAAGATACTTATATATAAATGAGAAAAACAGATTACAGAATGTAGAACTATATGCATAATACGATCCCGTTTTTGTACAAAAGAATACATATATATATATATATATATATCACAGAAACAAATTTGGAAGGATAAATACAAAAATTTTGGCAGCATTGAGATTATTGCTATTTTTGTTTTGCTTATTTGTATTTTCTGTTTTTCAGTGATGAATACAAATTGGTTTTATAATAATTTTTTAAATCACTTCTATTATAGCAGCTGGATATAGATCACTGTTGAGGACAAAAGAGGGCTTGTGCCCAGTGCTATTCAGCTTTGTCTTATACCCCGCTTAGTGGCTGAAATTTCAAGATAAGGCCACAAAGGGAAAACATGTAATTCACACATTTATGTTCCACAGAGATGAACTTCTGGATCTTAGAAATATTATCTTGCTACCACCCAATTTCCAAGAAAAGAAACCTTCTCGTGCAGTTTAAGAGTTGTACAGGGTGGTTTAAGTGAAAGGACTTGTAGTGTGTATCTACTCTTCAGATAGAATTTCTTAAGTTTCGATTAGGTTTCCATTTTAAATAAGTTTTGCTAAAGAGGTTGTCCGTTTGTTCACTTTTCTGCCTCAGATAAAATTCTGCCCTTCTCCTCCTTTCCCATTGATCTTCCTTCCATATCTCCCCCACCTGCATCTTCAGAACACAAATGAAAACATGCACACAAACACTCACACACGATGCCCCCTCCCTCCTTTCATGGATATATACGTATATATATATATATATATATATATATACACACACACACACACATATAACCCTGGGTGGCACAAACGGTTAAGTGCTTGGCTGCTATTAAAAAAGTTGGAGTTTTGAACCCACCCAGAGGCACCTTGGAAGAAAGGCCTGGAGATCTACATCTGAAAAGTCACAGCCATTGAAAACCCTATGGAGCACTCAGAAACACATGGAGTCGCCATGAGTTCCTTTATACACACACACACATGTGTGTATATATATGTAAAAACAATATATATATTGCTTCCTTTAAAATTCTTTTTGGAAACATGTGGTGTCTAAATAATTGCAGGAGAGCACCAAGGTAAGAGTGAGAAGAATATGGTCTATTGCAGACTATACACACCTATGAGCTAAGGAGATACCAGGGCTTGCTGATTGCTATCATGCAAGCACTTCTTTGTATACAGAGGTCACTTCAAGTAGAGACAGACTAGAAGTTAAATGACCAGCATCAGTTGCTATTGAGTCGGTTTTGACTCATGATGACCTCATATGTGTCAGAGTAGAACTGTACTCCATAGGGTTTTCAATGGCTGATTTTTCAAAAGTTGGTTGCCAGACCTTTCTTCCTAGGTGCCTCTGGGTTGGTTCCAACCACCAATCTTTTGGTTAGCAGCCAAGCGCGTTAACCGTCTGCACTACCCAGAGACTCCAGAAGCTAAAGGAAGGAGGCACACAACTAAGAAGAGAAGCAGGAGTAAGGGTAGGATATCCTGCTTTCCAGGGAGACACAGGCAGAGGTAAGGTCCCACTGGAGAAACTGCAGAGCCAGATACTTGGCAGAGATATCTAAGTTAGAAACAAAAGCACCAATTAGCCAACAGCACTGTCATGTTCAAATACCACGTCCACAGTTATGTCTGCTCACACCTCTAGATGCCGATGATTGAATTCTAAACGACAGTGAGAAGGCACCTCCAGATCCTTTGTGGGTGTAAACAAAATGGGCTATTGACAGCATCTGGACCACAAACTCCTGATGGAAAACAACACATGCAGATTTTTTAAAAGGGGGTGGAAATGGCAATGTGGCATCTATTCATAGAGAATGGGATTCGATTTAATTAAAGGAGGGAACCCCCCAGCTCCATCTGGTTCTCTCCATGTCAGCTCTGGGAGAGAGATCAGGGCAGGAGCTTGGGATTCTTCCTTGGCTTTCATGGATTTCTGCCTTAGGGATCAAATACAAAATCCAATTGACCTTTGTTTCTGAAATTGTGTACTGGACACTGCTGGCTTCCTGACTGTTTATGTCCTCTTGAGTCACCTCCATAGTGGAGTGACCCGCTCTCAATAGCTTCTTGGAAATACATACTGTTGTTCTGTTTTCACAGTGACAATGAATCCTAAAGCTGAATGGTGCTAATGTTTTCCAAGAGAAGCAGCCCCTGAGGGAGCGTGCTAGGCCTGCCAACAGAGGATGAAGAGGATACTAATTCAATTAATTTCAAATAACATAGACACAAGAGCCTTTTGCTATTTCTTCCAACACCCACTCTTCATGATGATGGCATCACCTGTACTTGGAGCGACTCAGAAGTACTAGGAAAAGGCCTGGCTGACGTCCACCGCTGCCTCTGAGGGTGGAGAAGGAGTCATAAGCTGCATTCGCTTCTAATCAGTGTGCATTCCCTCCTCCTAGCCAACGGCTAGCTGTACTCAATCAGCCATTCGCTCTAAGCCCTTGTTACCTTCCTGCTTCATTCCTTACGGTATAAATCAGGAAACTGTGTTTAATCTATGATTTCCTTCTGTGTCACCTCGTTACATAACTAGCTTTGGATAAGTTCTTCTGATTGTTCAAGTCCTGTGATAGATAAACCACATTCCGCAAGAACTTTTCTCAAGGAGAGTTACGTCATGGAAAAGACTCCAAATACAGCTAGTATTTCAGTGTATACAACACCCAAGGATTGGTAGACTCACTTCTCTCTGCCAAGAAGAAGCAGCGTGAGAATCCTCAGCCGTGATGCAAGGTTGTTGGGGGACTATGAACCCTGACCTTGACCAGGCCCTGCTACCCTTGGGGACTTCTTGGGAGAACAAGGAATCTTCCATGAAAAAGCAAATGTTTTCCTTCTCAGCTAAAATTTCCTCTAATTAACATTTCCCTACGCTCATGCTTGTTCTTGCCCACCTCCCTTGCATGTGCTATGTGCGTGGGGAGTATGCAGGTGGGGTCATCTGTCAGCCTGTCTATGTCTCTGAGATCTTCAAAGTTTAAAACAAACAAAACAGGAGTAGGAAATACCTGTGCTGTGGCAGATATTATTCATCGCACTCAGTGTTCTTCCCTTCAAGCTGGGACAGGGCTCAGTGTCCTCCCCAGCACAGCGCTCAGGAGGTCCCCATCTGCCCCTCAGAGAGACATCATCTTACATGATGTCTGCTGACCTCTTTGAGCTGGAAGCCATAGCGCAAAATACAGAAGGGCCCATCCATCACTCCACTCACCAAAAATCAATCTCCATTTAAATCTTAATTTTCTAATCCTGGCCTTTAAAGCAGTCTAGCAAATTGGGAGTCCTCAGCTGTTCTGGGACACCCAACATTTTATTCCGGGAGAGCAATAAAGAATGAAAATTTTATCTATCTTACTATCCACATATAAATGAAGGAGATGAGGTTAGCCAAACATTTGCTGCTGAATTTTGGGTCTTGTGTTTGAAAGATTGCCTTAATGCATAACAAAAGCTATGTTTCCTCCCACTGTTTAGAGTTCCTTTAACAAGGAACCCGAATGGTGAAGTGGTTAAGTGCTTGGCTGCTAACCAGAAGGTCTGTGGTTCAAACCCACCAGCTGCTCTGTGGGAGAAAGATGTGGCAGTCTGCTTCAGTAAAGATTATAGCCTTGGAAACCCTGTGGCTCAGTTCTACTCTGTCCTTGGCAATGGGTTTGGTTTTTTTGGTTTAACAAATACTTGTCTTCAGAACTACACTGATAATTTAAAGGCAGTGTTCCAGGCCAGCGAGGTCTTTCCACAGAGTGGAGTATTACAAATACTGGTTTGTGTTTAAGGCTCAATCACTGTTATCATGTTATCCTGGGACTGCAGAAAGCTTTAGCTGAAGACAGCCTTCATGCTATAGAGCGTCTATAGATTGTCTGTCATATTCTCATGTGCACATTCTACTATGGCATTTGTATTTTCACTGCTGTTTTCCATACTCATACTCAGCTTGTGGTCCACAGTGACTCAGAAATTTATGCCAAAATCCCTCGTCTATTTTTCTGCCTATGCTTGTTACTTTAAGTTTGTTTCCTGTCCATGTTTTGATTCTCAGAGAGTCTCAGTTTGCTTCTTCCTCCCTCTGAGTCCCTAAGATCTTTGCTGACCACTTAGGCCTTTACAGCTTGATCCCACCCTGTTAAATAATGAACTTTTAAAGTTCAGAGAAGTATAAGGGTTCCTGGAATCCTATTTTGATTAAGCAGTATTTTGTGATACAATAAAAATATTCTCATTCAGTTTTTAAAATAACTTCGAATCCCAGAAGAAGTAAACTTCACCAACATGTCATTGGGTTTATATCTGAGCAACACGCTAACTTCTGTAATTGTACAGTAGAAGAACATTTTTTAAAAGATAGTTTATTCTGGCAAAATATATAAATTTAGTATGGGTCAAAACAGTGAAAGATGAACTCCAGCACCCTGTATCTTTTTACTGCTATTCAATATATAAAAAACGAAACCCATTGCCATGGAGTGGATGCCGACTGATAGTGACTCAGTCTGTATTGGTCATGTATTTATGACAATTTCAAGAATTGCTTTTAAGCCAAAACTTAATATTATGTTTCAGATTATTGTCAATGAAAATCTCATCAATTTGCTCTAATTGGGTAGCCAATCAGAACAAAATCTGGCTTTAGACTATTTTAAAGATATGTATGTTTCATTGCACTTTTGTACATTTTAAGCAAACTACGGTAGGCTACCAACATGCCTAGTAGAACTTCTCAGGAAACTTGTTTTAATAAATATGTAAAAGTACTGATGTGTTACTCATAACCCAATAATGTGAACTCCTCTCTCAGGGAAGGTTGTTGTTACCCAAATGGGTGCACACAGCTATGGGGAACTAGCATGGATCAGCCTTGATATCCATGGGGTGACAGATGCTGCTGCTCATGGCCCTATAACTCCAGCAATGTGGATGGATGCTTTAAAAAGTGCTTTTGTCTGTTCTTTTATTTTCGTTGTTTAAACTATCAATTCCCGCCATCTCTGGAGGAAGCGTTATGGTGAATAAACATAAAACATAGACTTTAGTTTCAACTTCTGTCAGAGTTAATACAAATCCTGGATGTAGTGGAGGGATAAGATAAGGCTTCACACTGAGAATCTACTGCTAAAGTCCTTATTGTGGGGGAAACATCTAAATTTTATACTGAATTTAACACATGGGACTTTTTCACACTCAGAAGACACTCAGGATAAATTCTGGAGTTTGTATTTCATGTCTATAAAAGACAGTCTAGAGGAGCTTTCCCTCATAGACGGCATTTCCGTGATGTTACAATAACTAGAAGAGTCACTATACATTAGTGTGAAGTGGAATCAAATTGGTTATTAATAATTGCCTAACCCAAATAACTAATTGCCTGAACTATTTCTTTTTTTAAGCAGCTCTTTGGCATTGCCTTGATAGTATCTCCTCTGGAGCCACAGTTTTCTTTTCCTCTTAGTTCTGGTGGCGGTGGGCATTTGCAGATACTGGTTTTTTATTTCCACCCTATTACCTTTTCTAAATAACATGTCATGTTCAACTCTATAGATGCTTTGATCTCTTTCTGAAATGATCTTTTAAGAAATTAAATGTCTAAACCAAAGTGATAAAAATAATATGAAGATTTCAATTTCAGTGCAATTACAAGATTAGAAGTACAATGTAGAACTATTTAAGATAGCCAAAGGCACACAGATTTTTTTCAAAATTGAAATTCAGGTACAGAAGTTTCAGTTAGTCATACTTCCGAGTTTACATCACATTATCTATCACCATTGGCCTTTGGTACTTTGTAAATAAGTGATTGGACTTTTTACAAAAAGCATATTCTTCATACTTTATTTCTTGGGTCTGCATGGAAAGGACTAATGGATGACATGTAGATACTGCACACAGTAAGCCACGTTTTTCCAGTGTAAAAATCAGTTGAGAGTCATCATTGCATTACTCTGATTTAGCTGAAACCCTTGGGTTGTAAATAACGTCAGGAACATGTGAAAACTCTGCATGTTTAATAAATGCCAGCTTTCAGAAAGAGCAGGGATTGTAGTTATTCAAAAAGTTAAAAAGCAATCTGGTAGACCACTAGTAACTTAATATGTGTGTATTTTGTATTTAAAGTTAAGTGAAAACAATAAAAAATATTGTCTTCGATGTGCTTTCATTTTACAAGTAATGTAAATATTTCCTCAGGAGGTTAGTAAGATCATTAGATGTCCTATTAATCCCCTGAATTTTAAATTATGCCTTGTAAGCCTCATAAAAAATCGTCCCATTGCTACTGATTAGAACTGATTTGTAAAACTATAAAACTTTTAAGACTGATTGAAGATTTAAAATTTTTTTCTCCTACGCTATTTGCAGAGAATAATATATATAACAGAATTTTCCTTGGTTACTTATAGCTTTATAAATGTCAGGTATACATGTATATATATGTATAAATTATTCTCAGCTGCATGTGTTTGATAGAAATAAGTACATATATGTTTGTACGCTAAGTTACTCTTTTAGCAGTGATAGATTGAAAAGCATTTCTAAATTTCATTGAAAAGTAAAGCACTATAAGATAGGAGGAAAGAATATCTCCTACACTACCTTCTATGTAATTAATGTATGTCAATATTTAGAATAAATGTTTATTTGAAGGCAAGGTAATTGTTTACTAAAATGTTTTTTACTGAGAGTAAAAGAGTGAGATATGCTTCCTTCCAAAGGAAAATCCTTTTAACTTAACTTTTGTGAATATGAAAGAGAAGACCTGTTACCTTTATAAATGTACTCTTTTGATCCATATACCTCTTTAAATAAATGAAACAATACCCTATTCAAAGAGTTCTTATAGAATTGAATCTGCTTTCTACATGATTGTCTAGCCTGAAAATTAATTGGATTTTTTTGTATATCTAAAAGATACTATTACATATTCTTGTCTTTTTTGTTCCTTACAAAACATTTTTAAATTGAAGAATGGAATTTTAATTGTCTATGGGAATGTAATGAAAAAAAATTTTTATTAAAAATGAGAAAATCTTAGATATAAAACCATCTCTTTTTCCTGATTACTCACTTCTCTCCATGCCTTTAATGTTAATGTCAGCTTCTACACCCTGACATTTTAACAGTGAGTGCAAGGCTGAAAGGCAGATTCGTAACATAATATTCAGACTTCCTTGAATAAGGATGTGTTCTTGCACCATTTAGCACATCAACAAACAACAGCCAGGACGTTCCTCCTGAAGGGCCCAGCTAAGGGAAAACCTGGTCAACATGGCATCAATATATCCCTACAGTCTGCTGTAGGGTCTGTTTCTTTCCTACTTTAACCAGAACTTACTTAGTGATGGGATGGTTAGCCTGGAGATGGCATGGACAGTCCCACAGAGTTAGAGAAATGATGCTAAGAGAAAACAATAATCTTGACTAGCACTTAGTATGTGTATCACTTAGGAATTAATTTCAGCCTCTAGTATTAGAGACACAAAATAAAGTTGATTTAAACAAGTTTTTGTTTTTTCCCTCACACATAGAGACGTAAGCAGTCTAGGGCTGGTATGGTGGCTCTATGATCATCGACTATGTTCCTTCCAACTTTCCCCACCTTCATTAGCGCAAGGCTCCCATCCTCAGGGTCACCACATGATCCAAGTGGTTGCCGTAGCTCCAGCCATGATATTTACAAGAAGAAGGAGAGAGAGAGGGAAATAGCATGAGGGTGAGTCTCCCAATGAGGTCAACCACTTTTAAGGAGTCTTCCTGCCAATCCAACGACAGAGCTCTGACTACCTCTCTTTGGCCATCCCATGTGCAAGGCTGCAGGGAGATGGTTGGGTACACTGTCACATCCAACAAGAAGGGGTTCTGTTGTGAAGGACAAAGTGGTGAAAGAATATTGGGCATCTGATGAAGTAGCAACCTTGGCCACAAGATGCTAAGCATTTAACATTTATCATCTCATTGTAATCCTCATAATATATTTATGAGGTAGTTTTAGAGAACTTAATAACTTGCTCCATGTCTCTACAACTCCAAAGCACAGGCTTTTAACAACTGTACTATACTGGCCAGTAATAAGCAATAGGAAAATGTTTATGAAGGTTTCAATCATTGTCAAGAGGCCTGAAGGTGGGCACAGCCTGAGATCAGAAGTAGCAGTGACTGCGGGACAGCAACACAGGCAGGACTCCAAGTCCAGAAGAAATGGTATCTATCCCATGGTAAGAAAAAAAGCCAGGGCTTGGAAGAGAGGTGATAAGGAAAGAACCTAGTTTCTTGACCTACATAATATTAAGGGTTGGGCCACCAGGAGAAAAAAATAAAATGCCTACTTACTAGAGCTGAGATAACAAGATATTAGTTGTACTCTTTAAAGTTGCAATGGATAGGCATACCCAGATACTCTGAGAAACAGGCATTCAGTGCTAGAATCTGACATAATATCACCTCTTTCACGGCCATAGCTACTCTGGTTTTCAGCACACCAAAATCTAGTGTGTACATAGGACTTGTGTAGAAGAGGAAACTCAGCATTGTCTGGGATTTAGCCTGAGTTCAAGTGACCCACCTCTGGGTGTACCAGCATTCATGCTTCCCAAGAGAGAAAATATGATTGGGTTGGTGTTCCAGTCAACTATTACTGCCTAACAAACCACCTCAAAATTCAGTAGCTTAAAACAACAACACTCATTTATTTTGCCCATGAGTGCAATTCGAGTATGGCTCAGCAGGAATGGTTCATCTCTGCTCCACATAGCATCAGCTGAACAGCTTCATTTGGGCTCAGTCTACTTTCAAGATGGCTCACTCATATGCTGGCAAGTTGGTGCTGGCTGTTGGGTCAGAGCTCAGCCAGGACTGTGGGTCAGGGGCCTTCATTCCTATTCATGTGGGCCTTTCCATGGACTTCTTGGGCTTCCTGACAGCATGCTGGTTGGGTTCCAAGACCAAGTGTCCCAAGGGAACAAAGTAGAAATACAGAGTATTTTTATAACCTGGACTCAGAAGTCACATAGCAACACATCTACCATACTCTATTGGTCAAGGCCGTCACAAAGTCTACCCAGGTTCAAGGGGAAAGGGGACACAAACCCCAGCATTCAATAGAAAGACTGTCAAGGTGTGAAAAAAGCAAGTAGGATGGAAGATTTGTTGTGACCACCTTTGGAAAATGATCTGCCAAAAATGGTGTGTCCTCATGCAAGATGGAGGAACTTTATTAGGTTATCTCATGCCAATGTTACCTCTTGGATATTTGACCTCCCTTGAGTCCAGTGCATGTGCTTTTGTGGCTGTCTTTGGCTTGGACATAGATTTCTGTTCCAATAACCTGTGGTAGGCAGTAGAGCTGGTTTCACCCACTACATGATGCATAAGCCATGGCAGCATGACACAGAATTGCTGTGGGTGGGTCAGACACACGGAAATTGATGACTACTCTACAGAATATAAGGCTAAAATGGGACCAGATTAGATTGTGAGCACCTTGAGGACAGTGATCAAGTCCTACTCATCTCTGTATTCTGAACAGTGCTTGGCACTGGTGGGTGCTCAATAAATATGGAAAAACTGATCAGCTACTGAGCAAAGAGTCATTGTGTCACCCTTACTTAAGTACCTAATCAGTCTTGATCATCAGGGAGAGCAAAATCTAAATGTAGAATTTCCCTATTTTCTCCCAAATTTCCTGGTGCAATTGTTTTCACCACCTTCTATCTAATGGATCCTGATACCATTTTTTATCTTTATTTTAAATTATCCTATTGTATGTGTGTTTTATTTTTAGCTACCTAAATGCATTCTGGAGGAGGTGGAGAATAGTTTATAATTAAACTAACAAGCAATTAGAGGTGGCGGAGATAAAGTGGCCTCTAATTTGGAAGGTTAAAGGAATATTGGGGAAGGAGCCCAGTGGATCATTAAAACCCTCACAGCTGCTCTTTCTGCCCTCAACTCTGGGCTTCTCTTCTTTGCCCTCAGGACGGTCCTTGAAGAAAAGAAATATAAATTTTATTCAGAAAAAGAGGACATAATCCAATTTAGATAATGATACAAGCCACAAGATAATAATGGTTTCTGCTATGGGCAGGAAGAAGAGGTACTGTAAATTCTTCAGGTGTTCCCCAGCCAGCGCTGAATGTAGATGAAACCAACCAAGCTAGTTAATGGGGCAAGATAGTAAACTCTGAGACCCATGTATTTCTGACCTTATGGAATCTGTACAGAAACACCTCCATCTTGTTGCTTGCTACCCTTTACTTGGTGTGAATATGACTTTCTGTTCATAATCCATCCCTTGTTCCATTTCAAATGGACCCCCATTGAAGGATTGTCATACTGTTCAACCCTCTGTCTTAAGGGAGCTAGTGTGGGCATATCTGGGAAGCAGTCATATGAATTAAAGTCAGGATTTGTGCCTTGAAGAGGGTGGAGCATGAGCAGGGAAAACAAAAGGGGTGGGGGGCAGTGTGAGACACAGTTCCTAGAGAGTTCTCTGGTTAAACAGGAGAAACCAAGATTAGTTGTTAAGACCAAAGTGGCAGGTGAGGGAACAAACACTGGAAAACAGGATGGAGGCAGGAGTTAGACAAAAGTGGACTGGACAGGAGCGATGTCAGGAGGGTCCTGGGTGACTGCCAAAATGGAGCTGAGCTAGCCAAAGTTTGCCTTTTTGGCCACTGGATACACAGTGAATGGTAGTCAACTGGCCTGCAGGTGGAAGGGTGGAAAGGACACTAAATTACAAAATACCTTTCCTTTTTCAGAGTGTCCATCCTGCCTATTAAGTTGGGAAACAGCTCCAGAGAGACTTCATGATCCTGAGGCAGATCCTAAGCTAGGATCCATGCTCCCACAGAATTGGGGGACATATTCCAACTCCTCCCAAAGCTATGAGAATGGCAGGAACTAACAGGGTCACTTCCTGTGGGAGGGGCAGCACCTCCTAAATCTCTGGCCACGTGCAGAACAGGTGGCATGAGGTTTGGACAGGGCAAAGCCCAACCCTTTCCTTTGAATAAATAAAAAAGTTATCCTAAATAAATACACTTCTCCTAACTTTCTCGCCTTAAATGTAATGTTGGTGTGTTTGTTTAGACATGACTCTTGGTTCCGGTGAGGAAATATCCAACTCAGACTAGCCCAGACAAAAAGGAAACTTATCAGCTCAAATAACTAAACTGGGAAAGGATAGAAAGTTGCTGATCCTAGGGACAACCAGAACCAGGTACAACTGGAACGAGGGACAACCAGACCAGTGATTCAACACAATAAGGATTCTCCAGTCTTTGTCTTCCCTTCAGTCTTGAAGACCGATTTTCCACAGACTGCTGACCATTGCACCCTGCACAGCTGGTAACTCCAAGGATGCCATCCTCCCATGTTTACCACCAGAGTAGAAGGGAATCTCTTGCCTTGGATGCAAAAAAGAGAAATCTCCTGGAAGAAATCTGATTAGGCTGTCTGGGTTTTATGCCTAACCCTGTGAAAATGGGTGTCAAGTACTGGGACTGACATTTCCTTCTAATACCACAGGCTGAAGTGTGTGTGCATGTGTGTGTGTGTGTGTGTGTTTGTGCTGTACACATGGTTGATTGGTTGGTTGGTTGGTTGATTGGTTGGAGGGGAGGATGCAGGCAGAAGCAGTTTCTAAAGAGAGTCAGAGTGCCGTGAACAGATGCTGGGCATTCAGGACAAGCAAAGCACACACACCCACTGGCACACACATGCCCTGTCCCACTTCCTTACCCACATCCAGAGTCAGAACTCCAGGACAGGACAGGTTCTCTGAGTGGTGGATTTACTGGTGCTTTTCATTTTCTTCTTTGTGCATTTCTAATATTTTCCAAATGTTCTACAGTTAAAAAATGTATTATCTTTGTAATGTATTTTTTAAAGATTGGGGTGGGTAAACTTTCATTAACCAAGGTAGAAATATTAAGAACCAAAACATAGAAAAATTCTAACTCTAGTTCTCCTATTCTTGACATAAGACATAAATGTCTTTTGAAACATATTTGCAAAGCTGAATGAATATATTTGGATGTGTGTAACCATGATCATTTTTTGTAGAAAGGAGAAAGGATTCTGAAAGGGGAGGTAGGAAGGTCTTCAAAGACTTGCTTCATAGTGTGGACTGTAGTTTTTTCTACATGGATTCTTGTAACCCGGGCTGAATTTGGGCACACTTTGTCCATTTCCTTTCGAGGACTATGGGAGAATCAGGACAGTTTCTGGGCCTCTGTATTTACCTTGTGGCTCAATTCACCATTCTTGATGGGAGAGGAGGATATGAGGGTGGTTGTTCAGACTCTGAGAAGCTGAATGGGGAACAAGACAGAACTGGAAAGATTTTTTTCTCCCTATAATGCCCAAGAGGAAATGAGGAAGAAGAATCATGTCTAATCACATGAGTTCTTTTCATTTTTTTACTGTAAGGATCATTTAGCATTAAAGAGCAGTTTGAATAAAGAGCAAAATAGCCTCCATTTTAAATTCTCTTCCTTGTGCACTTCTGTAGTTGACAAAGTTTCTATAATTACCACATACATCTTTCATAAATTAAAAAAAATTATTGCAAATAAAGGCTAGTCAAAATAAAAAATAATAATTCTGAATTTCACCAGCCTAGCAAAGCAATTTCTGTTTTTAGGAGTGTTTTGGAGTCTTGCTTAGCTCTAAGAAGGAGAAAGTGAGCAGAGCAGCGGTAGTGGACCATGGTATGGGGTTTACACAGGACGACTTCTGCCAGCAGCCCAGGGGAGGCATGCGTGGTTTCCTGAAAAGAGCAGGAGCACTTAGCATCTATTTTGAGAGGGCTTAGAAGGGTCAGTGCAAGAGGAAGCCAGTCAGAAATCCTGAACAGAGAAAATACTAGAAGGCTTCCCTGAAGATGCCACTGGGATCCATTCACTCGGCTAACATTTATTGAGTGCGTACTATGTGCCAGGTGCTAAAGATACAGAAGGGAGTCAGGTTAGCATAGAAAAGCTTATGGCCCCTGGAACCAGACTGTCTTTGTTTAAATCCTGGCTGTGTAACTCTGGGCAGGTTACCTAACCTTTCTGTGCCCCAGTTCCCTTGTAGGATTTTTGGAAAAATTACATAGGTTAATACATGTGAATGCTGTGAATGCTGAGTGCCTAGTGTGTGATAAAAATTATATAAGTGCACCCCGAAAATATGGCACCCGGATACCCTTTTGACTCAGTACTGAAGTGACTCCTGAGGTTCACCCTTCCGCCAAACATTAGACAGGCCCTTAAAACAAAATGAGACTAAATGGGCACACCAATCTAGGGGCAAGGACTAAAAGGCAGGAAGGGATAAGAAAGCTGATAATGGGGAACCCAAGGTGGAGAAGGGGAGAGTATTGACATGTCATGAGGTTGACAACCAATGTCACAAAACAAAATGTGTACTATTTGTTTAACGAGAAACTAATTTGCTCTGTAAACCTTTGACTAAAGTACACACACAAAAAAAAAGAACCACGATTCAATATAAAAAAAAACTATGTAAATGCTGGTTGTTACTATTATGGTCACTGCCCTTAAGGAGTTCACAGTCCAGTAGCTGAAGCAGCCACAAACCTGGAATCTGTGGAAGAAGACAAGGACCTGACAGGCTCATTTGTTAAGATAAAGAGTTGCTAGGAGGCGCCCCTGCTGAACAGCTGGTAGGAAATCATGCTGCCCAGGACTCTGAACCCAGGCGCCATTTTGAAGGTCATTGGGTCCCAGGTGTTCTCACACAATGAGAGTCATCTGAAGTGGGAAGGAGAGAATACTAACAAAGACTTTTATTGAGTGCTTACTGGGTCACAGGCACTTTTCTAGGTGGTTCATGTGAACGAGTTCACTTAACTTCCCAAGTAGGTTCCTAATTTACAGATGAGGAAACTAGGGCACAGAGAGAGAAAGTAATTGCTCATGATCACACAGGTAGTATGTAGTGGGGCTGGGATTTGAACCCAGGCAGTCTGTTTCCAAAATCAGCCCACATGCTACCAGGGTCACCTTGCAGATGTGCCATCTACATTGACTACAGTGGAATTGTGCGAAGAGTCGCCTTAGATACTATCCCGTCCATTTATTTGAGTATCATTAATTTGTTCCTTCAATCAACACTTA